TATGTAACTTCCTAGGAGATCACCCATCCTAGTATTGCTCCCTCACGAGCACGCTTAACCTTAAAGTTTCTTAATGAAATTTTGACCATTACACAAAAATGCACTTTAATGTTTAAGAGTTTATGTTTTTTTTTTTACTTAAGGGGTTTCAAAATCTCCCTCACTTAAATAACTAATATGCTCATCAGTATCTTTATCTAGAATTATCCACTAGGTAGATAAAATTCTAAAGGTGACCCTTATAAGTTCAAGTGGTGGCTCCTGCCTACTTTGTCTCATATATAACTAAAGATGTGTCCTTCATTGCATAATACTGCCTTATACTGATGTCATTGTAACAATCTGTTAGATCGGTCCAGCCGGTCCGACGGGACTGGCATACGCGAACACAGAGGCAGATTTCTCCGCCTCCTATATGCACCGAACACACGCACGGCGTGTGTAAACTATTTTAGGAAGGTTTTTTTGAGGGAGTTAGTAGGGAAATTTGAATGTAGGGATTGTTTAGAGATTTTCTTTTGATTTGTATGCATTAAATAGTTTGTTTTCCTAGGTTGAGGCCATCTTGAATTTGGCTGAAATTTGAGATCTCTTAGATTTAAGTTTTCTTTTGGGCGCTAGCGGTGTCTAGAGATTTGGGAGAGATCGATCCTCCTCTCGAAGAAGGTAATGACCACGGTACCCGTTTTAGCTCTACCAGACTTCAGTTAGACTTTTGTGGTGGCGATGTGTGAAGTTTGTTAGAGAAACAAGTATATGTCTATATCTATGTCTCCGGGGGGATTACTACAACCCTTGTCACTTCCGAATAGAGTATGGGAGGAAGTGTCCATGGATTTCGTTGATGGCCTCCCATGATTAGAGGGGTTCACTGTTATTATGGTGGTGGTTGATAGGCTGAGTAAGTATGCACATTTCACTCCCCTACGACACCCCTAAACCGCAATGACAGTGGTGACAGCTTTCATCAGGGAGGTGGTGAGACTCCATAGGATTCTATAGTCGATAGTGTCTGACCAAGATAGTTTTCCTCAGCCAGTTTTGGAGGGAGCTATTCAGGTTATAGGGAACTATTAACAAAAGAAGCACCGTCTACCATCCCCAAACTTATAGGCAAATGAAGGTAGTCAACCAGAGTTTGGAGACTTGAGGAGTTTTTCTTCTGAAACACCAAGGATGTGGGCCAAATGGTTGGCATGGGCCGAGTATTGGTACAATACCTCGTGCCATTCAGCTTCCCAGAAGACCTCTTTTAAGGTGTTATATGGAAGAGATCCACCACACTTAGTGCACTTGGATGGGGGAGCACACCAGTATCTTCAGTGGAGCAACACTTAGAGGAAAGAGATATGGTGTTGGAGGAGTTGAAGAAACATCTAATGAGGGCACAATAGATCATGAAGAGGCAGATAGACGCACATAGAAGAGATATTCAGTTTGAAGTGGGTGAGAATGTTTTCCTAAACCTGCGGCTGTACAGACAAAAGACATTGGCCAATAAGAGAAATGAGAAGTTATCTCCGAGGTATTTTGGCCCCTATGAGATAGTGGACAAAATTGGAGTAGTGGCATACTGTTTGAAGTTACCCCCATCCGTCACTATCCATCCAATATTCCATATGTCACAACTGAGAAAGGCCATAGGGGAGTATGCAACCAGTGCAGAACTGCCAACAACTTTGACTGAGGAGATGGAGGTGGTCTTAGAACTTCTAGAGCTAAATTGAGTGAATATGACAAGGAAGGAAACAAGGAGGTGTTGATCGCATGGAAGGGGCTTCCTGTGTTTGAAGCCACATGGGAACCGCATGAGAGGGTGAAACATCAGTTTCCTTCATTTCACCTTGAGGACAAGATGAGTTTTTGGAGGGGGGTAATGTTAGACATGAACCGATCCATCCTGTACCGGTTCATGTCTATTCCCACCGGTCCAAAGGAGGAGGTTGACATGGGGGGTTGGGCAGCAGCATGGTGGGCCCCATGGCTTAAATTAAGCAAGGTTTGGGAGGAAAATTTTGAATGAGGGGCTGTTTAGGAATTAAGTAATTTTCCTTTTGCTTTAATTAGGATTTCTTGTTAGGGTTTGGGATTATCTTGAATTTGAAATCAAATTTGGGATTTAGGGTTTTCTTTTGAGCTCTAGGCTTAGCTAGAGATTTGAAGAGCTGTTTCTTCCTTTCGAATTGAAGAAACTTATATCATTTCCTGTTTTCCTTCAACAACTAGTGGAATACTTCGTTTTCTATCAGTTTTTCCTCTGTTTTCCCAAGAAACCTGCTGTATTTTTCTGTTTTTCTGCTGTAAACAGCAGTTTTACTCACTGTTTGCACCAATTGTGGTTAGGTTTGCTTGTGAACTTAAGTATTTCCTAATAGTTTCCTTTCTTTGGTGAGATTCAGATTGATACCCATCTTTTGATGAGAGTGTGTTGGTTATTCAGTTACTTTTTAGCTACTGCTTTTATGTTGCTTGTGGTCTTCTTCCATAGCTCTTCAAAACTATAGCATCATTTCAGACGAACACATGCATCCTGAATAGTTCCAAAAAACTCATGGTGAATTCAAGCCAATGAAGCAATTGTGTTCAAATGAGAACTAAATCACTTAATGTTGGCCTAGAATACTCCAGTGAGCTTGACTTAAATTTATCGCTTGGATAACTCTGCTGATCATAGGGCATTGGCAACATGCCAACTCTAGTAATAGAATAATTAATTATTTTGGGCCATATGGCCGTTCTCAAAATTAATATTATTGAATTGTGATCTTGTTCAAAAGAGTCATGTAATTATTGTGACCTACACGATTTGTTGATCTAACCAATAACTTTAAAAATCAAGGTTAATTTTCTTTTTTGAATTACGGAGCCAAATGAGCTCTCAACTTTCCAATGATTATCTTCAAGTGCCATCCATAAACAAGACTAGTTGGCCTATATAGAAAACCTCTCTTGGGTGCACGTGGGTAAGATTATTTTCCAGCTAGGTGGAAACTTTTTTTTTGTATTTGGTAAATGATTTTAGAATTAAAAGAAAACACACTCTCAGCCATGATTGTCCATGTTTGCTCTAATAATCCTATCACTATTTCCATGAATTTCATTTGCTCAGTCAGCTCTATTGTTTGGTTCTCTTACAATTAAATATGTATTAACAATGTGATATCAACAGTTATTATTCAATATGATTACAAGAGAGAGTAATGTCTAGTTGTGATTTATTTTAAGCATCTTGCATCCGTTATATATAGTAATGGTGATATTGATGAGAATATTATTTTTGCTGTGAAACAAAGGCTTGATAACATGGATACAACAATAAAATTTAGTTATAAAAAGTAGGACATGACATGCCATATACATATTGCTATATTTTATAAATTATTAAAATAAAATATGTAATTTATAATATATTTATTAAAAACATCACCCAATGAAGTATTATGTCATACACATATACTTCAGAAAAGAACAATAACAATATAAAAAAAAACTATTCATAATAAAAGAAATACTTTATAACATGTGATAATTGTCATTTGTTAACCGAACTCTAAATCTTTAATATTAAATTCATTAATCATTATCAAATGTCACATATTTTGTGCATGTGTTGATATCTCACAAACAAGCCGTCTCTCACTATGCGCCTTTGTGGCATGCCAAGAGCGCCAAGCCTTTTTGGACTATGCCAGGCCATATCCAGCCTAAAGTCAGAACTTAATTTTATCTTGAAATGCTTCTGACACAATTGAGCATGTTAAAGATGTGTCTTGTCTGGCATGTCATACACAAACACACAGTATTTGTAATTAAGGCTAGTTGTTTTTTTGTGAAAAGAGGATATCGTGGACTCTTGAATTGAAAGTTTATAAAATTTCAATTAGGCTAGCCATGTTATGTTGGATTCTAGTGATGGGTGGTTAAAATGTTATTTTAGCTGTTTGAGTGTGATAGAAATGAGAGTTTTAAGATTACTGTGGTAATATTAGGAAGCATAATTGAGGATCATTATATAGAGGGGTGTTGGTGTAGTGTCTTTTGAAGATTGGATGGTTGAAAGTAGGATGATTTTGGTATTTATAACAAGGTAAAAAGTACATGTTAGATGGAAAGTTTAAATTAAGATCAAAGTATTATTAAAAAAAGGCTAGATCTTAGGCAACAAAGCTAGAAGTTGTTCACGAAGGTTTGTAAATAATGCATTTCATAACTCTTGTAACACTCAATGGAACGGATGAAGAATGAGAATTCCCACGTTCGACACCAAATATGAATTAAGGCCAATGATAATGATGATGGTAATCATTGACTTCAATTTATAATTAGTATTAGTGAGCATGTCATTAGTATTTTGCAGCATTGAAATGCTTTTGTGGGTATGAAATATCATCACTGCTGCTACTCTTATAGAGATTGAAGATGGAGGTTCTGCAAGGCCTTTCATTGCATATTTTCTCACTAATCAAAATTTAAACATGTTTGGTTTTTGAAAAACAAACATCATAAAGGTATTGCCAAACTAAGCTTTAGGACTAGACTACGTATAGAGAAATAACTGGCGCGAGTCCTAAATGTGATTGTCTATAACTTAGTGTGACTTTTTTCTTTAAAAAAGAAAAAAAAAAGTTCAATGACGCCTAATAACTCATTAGCACTTATTAATAACCTGATAAGCACTCATAACCTATAAACTATTAAGTCCTGTAAGGACCCAATAAATTATCTATTACACCTACTCCCTAGCCAAATCTCTAAACTCAACAGTTGTAATCACAATTTTAGTTCTTGTGAGAGGGCGGTGACTCAATCATGACTTAGAAGTTCAATTTGTTTGAATTAGGGAAACGGCCTTTTATTTCTTAATACTTTAGTGTTAATTTCATTAGTTTGGAAGAAGATAACGCCCGATGCTTTATTAAAATGCTCTTTCTTGACATTCTTCTCATGCCATCTGTTTTACGTTGGAATTTTAACTTAATTCTAAACATTTCATAGCACAGGCCTGTTCCTCCCAGCTGTCGTTAGGCCAATCTTGGATTCTTTTGACTCGGCCGAGCAAGTACCGCCACCACAACTCAGTGAAGTGAGTTTTCCATTCAACATTTCTAGCACTAAATTTTTTATAATGCAATTAATGCTTGATCTTTAATTTCTTGGGAGGTTTACATAAATACTACTTTATTTTATGCTATTTACATATCTAACATCTAAAACTTTAATATTACATGTCTACCACCCGTAGAATAAATTTGGGTTTATAAAATAAAATATTGAAGTTTATATAAGTGGTATGGGTGGTTAGAATGAAATATATGAGTGATATATTTGATGTTAAAATTTTATATGAGTGGTAGCTATGAAATATTAAAATATTGGGTGTTCGATATGCAAATAGTATGAAATAAAGTAGCATGTGTGTAAATCCCCCTAATTTATTTTGCTAGTTATCTTTATTGCCAACATCCAATTCTTCTTCTTTGTATCTCTAACTAAATCATGCATCATTTCCATTTCAATTTTAACAATGTTTTATGAGTGAATAAAAAAAACTTACTGAATATAAATTGCCTGAGCTCTATAGCCCAAGTTGCCAACCGAATATGAGGTAGCAAATGAATGTTCATTTATGAAATATTTTTTTATGGGTTAGAACTGTTCATTCTATTGGGAAAAAACTTGTTTTATAAAAAGTAATCTTATAATAAAGTCCCATCAAATACTTGCAGGTGGTTGCTGGTGTCACCGGGAAGAAGCAACGAGATTGACTCCAATGGTTTCATCAAGTTTACTGCTTTTGCTTTTGCACATTTTTCGTGCATAGCTTTGCTACGCTTAAATAAATATTTACATGTGAAGTTGTACTGCAATTTGATCAGTACACGGATTGCTTTTGCATCTGCAAATACTATTATTCTATGCGAAGAAGATGGTCCATAGCTTGGTGAAAGTTCGATTTGAATATATCTTGACATTATTAAATTTATTTAAGATGAGGGAACATTAATATAAGTTCAATAATTTTAAATTTTATGATTACTAAAATTTGATCAAAATATTTCGACCAATTATTTTCTCCGGATATTTGCATTCAATTTTGGAAGAGTATGGAAATTGTGCGTATGTATTAATTTGGTATATTATAATCAGTCTGAAGTTTAATTGGACATTTTATTTTTGTAAATGTTTATTCGACTGAAAAATGTCAAACAGAAGAGCACTTGGGTTCTACAAATGGGGTAAAACAAAGCATAAATGATTAAAGATAGAACTAATATATTTGATGTTAAGAAAATTGATATTCACAAGAAATCGATTAAGAATTTGCATATTTTGATGTGAGCTAAATTTCATTTGTTGAATTTGCAAACTTTATTACTTCTTAAATTACTCATACCGAAAGTGTCAAAATTAATAAAAAAAAGTTTCGAAGTTTATATGAAGTGGAAATGTTACGTACGTTTTCAAATAACATTTTAAATGTCATAACTTTGATTTTTCAAAGTTAGCCGTGAGATGACCGTTTGATTGCTCGGATTTCGCTCAACATTCCTAACGATAATATCATCATGCGAAGTTTCATAATCCAAAAAATAACTACCTTCATAATCCAAGTACATTTAAAATTACTTATCCTGGCCTTTTAATGTAGATTGGATGGTCAAAATTTATTCCACAATTTTATAAAAAATTATTCTAATTTTCATAAAACTACCCATAACCATTCATACAACCCACATTAAATGATCAGAACAGATAATTGCACACTATTCAATCATCCAATGACAAAGACAAAGTGGAACATTGTAGATTAGCCACACAAAATCAAAGGAATAAAATGGGTGAGATATCCTAATTCAAATTTCAAATTGATCCTAATGAATTTCCTAAACATCTATTTCTAAATAAATGCAATGAGTTAATTGATATATATTATAATATATTTCTATGTGACAATGAAACTTTTTCATCTTCCTAAAGCAGAACTAGTCAGACATACAATAATATATTTATAATCACTAAAACCCTCAAAAAGAATAAATGTAAATTTAACTTATTCATTATATGTAAGAAAGGATTAATTTCAATTATGTATGGATTGAAGTAGAAAATATAGCACAAATAACACTTAACTGAAGCCTGGAAGAAGAAATATGAATAGGGTTCATGACTGCACAGCCAGCTTCTGGAGGTGCTCACAGAAAACCTGAAAGCTCACATCATCAGTAAAGATGACATCCGAGCCGGGAGCCAATTCATGTGCGGAGTTATATGTAGCTGATGGATTCAACTTGGCTAAGAGAAATCTAGCCTGCATAATATCAATCAAAATTTGAGGAACCCTACAAGAGATTTCTATGCTGAAGAAATAAAATTACAGGTAGCTGATGATCATAATTTTCTTACTGAAATTTATGTTACAAAAAATACAGTTCACATTTGAATCTAAATATGAAGAAATCACCAGTTAAATATGTGCAGTACTGTTAAAATAACAAAATTATTTTACAGAAAACTCTAATAATATATAAAAATATATGTACATGTACAACATTTTTTATAAAAATGCAATCCTATATACGGTTTGCATTTTTTAAATTTATTATAAAATTAAATGTTCCACGTAAAATCAAATACAATCAAATTTGCTACATGCTATTAAATTCAAAGTCCTTTCAAACAAAATCAAATTCAACTTCTAGAAAACATAATATGTTGCTACTAATGTGTTCATAATTTCGAGTCAACTCAAACGAATTCCAACAATACCAACATGGCTTGGAATTTATTCATTTCAGGTTGAGCTCATCTAACGCAAGCCATTAGTTCAAGTCAATTTTCACGTTAGACAATTTGACATTTATTAGAACAATCTGGGCCTGTCTCTACTAAAACACGATGGCACCACGAGACAGAGAGACTGAGAGAGAGTACATATTATTTTCAACAACAATAATATCAAGTTTTTATCCCACTACTTTGGTTTGGCTACACTAATCATTTTTTCTCCATTGTGTCCTAATTTAAGAGTTAAATTCTTATTTAAATCTAATAAAAAAAATTATTTCTAGTACATTTTAATCAAGTCTTTTTAGGACTCCCTCTGCCTTCTTTAACAAAGGCTAAATATTATACAATTACTCTCCTAATCAGGTCATCGGAAGATCGGCATTTTATGAGACCAAATCATCTAAGGTGACTCTCTCTAATCTTATTTACAAATGGAGCTACTCTAACCATTTCATGTATATACTCGTTTTGCATTTTGTCCCTAAAAGTGAACCCAATCATCCACCCGAGCATCCTAATCTCAACAACACTTAATTTTGTGCTTCTCTTTTAATGGCCAACATTCTGCACCATAAAATATTGAAGGTCTCACCGCCATCTTATATATATTCTCTTAAGTTTGAATGGCACTTATTTATTACACAACAAGTTTAATTAGGGGTGCAACCAAGTCAAGCCGACTTGCAAGCCAACTTGGGCTCAACACGTTAACGAGTTCACGAGTCGAGCTCTATCAAGTTCCAGCTCGTATAATCAAGCTTGAGTTCGATCCAACCAAAACTCGGCTCTATTACTCACGAGCCTACTCGGATGCCTGGGGGTGGGAACGCAAAATGTCGGGCTGGAAGGCGGGATCGCAGCGCGGGAGTACTTGGACTTGGGCGGGAAAGCGAAATCGCATCGCATCGCGGGAAAGCGAAATCGCGGACCGGCGTGCACGGATGGAGTTCAAAAGCAAGCATGATGAAGCTCGAACGAGCAGCTCGAGGAGCTCGTTTCAATGGCACAAGCCAAGCTCAAGCTCTCCTTCTGAGCTCGACTTGAGTTCGGACTCGAGATTTGGCTCGCGATTCGAGATCGAGTTAGGCCTGACTCAAACTCAACTCGACTTGTTTGTACCCCTAGGCCTGCTTCATTCCTCCACTTTAACCATCTAACTTGAATTCTACTAATAATATCCACATCTATTTCACTATTAATTAGAACAATAGAGCTGATATATCTAAATATGTACTTTTTTTAATGACTTGATGGCCCAAAGTCATATTCTCCTCACTGGATCTATTACTACAAAACAAATTATTTTCAATTATAATTAAATATGATATATAATATGCAAAAATTAATATTTATAGATTTCCTTTATTACATAATATTGTTGAACAATATATTCTTTAATAACAATAAATAATACTAGAAAACAAAATATTTTAATAACATGCACAAAAATAAATAATTACAGATTTCTTTTTATTACAAAATATAGTCACGATATATTCTTTAATAGCACTTAATATTACTAGAAAACAAACTAATAGAATAACATTATAAATATTATTGATAAGTTTCAATATGCTATCTTAATAAAGTTAATTATCAAATAATATTTTGACAACGACAAAAACAACAAAATAAAGCTTTTATCCAACTATGTGGGTTCGGCTAAAATTTAGTGAAAATAATGTTTTGAAATGAGTGAAAATTCCTCCAAGAATAATCGCAAGTTCCAAGAAACAAGCTCAACTGATTTTCCCAGACATACATTTTTTGTGCGCTTGTTTTTTGATTTTCTTATAAATAAATCAGGAACTAGAGAACAAAAAATGTTCTAGCATGGTTAAGGGTATTTTTTGCTACAAATAAATAGTAATCTTAAAGTCAGAAGTACTTTATGATTAATACTGCTCCTCTTTCATGTTCTAAAAATAAAAATTCAACAAATAAAACACTAAAGACCATAGAATCAATCTAAAGTATTGTATATTTTCCGATGTCAATCTATTATTTATTTTATTGCAGAATATCATCAGTAACATTGTCCTGATCATCAAGCTTATTATGAATGCATTTCTAATTATAATAATTTACTGTTTATTCTGTAAATAAATCCTTTAAATTAGTCATGGAAATCCTGGCACAAAGAAGCTGCGCTGCGGGATAAAACGCATGGAAAAAAAGATACCTGGGAGCCATGCTGATCACAGACAACTAATCTTGGGACAGGAAATCTATCTCTGATTATCATTTGAGCGTCGTCATGTGGCGCTTGCAAAAGCTGTGCAAAAGCCTGTAAGAAGAAATGTGGTGAAACCCTTATATATATCTGTGCATCTATATGCAAGAAAAAAAAGAATGGGATAAAGGAGCCACAAAATATCAAAAATAAATAAATAAATGCAGTTGTTGTGCACAATGGGATTTTTTCACGATAAGTAATGTAGTATAGATGTGGCAACTAAAACATCTGTTTTCAAAAGTTTTTGAAAACTAGCCAAAGTTTATAGTTTCCAAGAAGACTGTACACCTTTTCATTCATAATCTTAAAAATTTTAATCAAGATTACATGCTTTTCATAAGACTTAATACTAGTCTCTCAAAAGCACTAGAGCTTGTAAATGCTTTCACATGACTTTTTAATAACTCTTCACATTTGGGATGAAGATGTAATGCAGAATCATTATCGTCAAATGAATCTTGGTCATCGGTGACATGCCCCAATATCTAAAATGGAAAATTTTCATTTCCATTCTCTCTATTATATTTTAATTTTTTAACAACCAGATATAGAGTTGATTAATTACATTCAGAAAAAATATAAACAATAATAAACATAATTACATTTCATAATCAATATTTACATCTTGTTTCAAAATTCAAAATTCAAAATAACATATACAATAGTCACAACTAGCTACAAAAGAATATATAACTCAAGAGCAGAAAATAAATTAAACTAGCATCAATTCATCATCACTATTAAGCCTTACATTGCAGAGTTTTTACATTTTCCTGAAATCATATAAAATCAAATAATGAGCATGAAAGCCTAACAAGTTACCAAAATCTACTATTGTATTCAATGCAAAGTAAAAGAATTAATATGTCTACTCCAATTTTAGTCAATATCAATAAACAATCACTAGTCTACTAGTATAAAAAATAAGCAATCTATAAAATCAGCATCAATCAATAGTAAAATCAATATGATCAATAAAGCAAAAAGAGATATATCAACTATAAGAAAAATTAGTAAAAATGACTATCAATCAATGGGCCAAGCCAATATATTATGCTATGTTGTAACAGTATCAATGCTAATTTTATTTAATCTATATAAGTTGTATTTATGAAAACAACTCAATATACTATCATGTAAATGCAATCATAAATATGATTATGAGAGCAAGAAAGGGCATCCAACTTTAATGTGATGTTTTCATCCTTCCACCCCAATTATCGACAATTGGTCATCAATCTTATCTTACCATAATTTTTTATTATCTTAAGTGAATTCATAATTGGCTTTTAATAAATCTTTAAGAATCTTTACTCTCTACCCGTCAGCGTAATTCAGTCAATTGGTTACAGTCTACAACCAAGATCATACCACCAAGATCATACCACAACTCATTATTTAAAAGAAAATATGTCAGTCCACCCTCCTGCGCATAATACTATGATTTATGAGCCAACCCGTATTAATTAATGTTGATAACCAACCTTTTTGTTTTCATGCAAATGACACATTTATCCCATATATCAATTATACATTTTTTTCTATACAATGCAATGTCTTGTATGAAATCTAATAATCCATGAAACACAGAGCAATCTAAACACTATTCATTTACTTTAGAAAGTATCATTTCACTTAGTGAAATTCAATAATATTATAATCAAAATACTTATAAAATTCATATCCATCACATAGAAGAAAATGCATTTTTATCAATTTCAGGAAGATTAAAACTGAAGAAATCAAAACCATCAAAAACATAAGTGTATAGTCATTTACTTTACGTAGAACAAAATCCGTAATAAAAGTGACGGACAAAACTGCCACAATGATCTTTCTCCTCTTCTGCCCCTTCTCTTCTTCCCTTCCATGGCTCTTCCATAGCACGAATTGAAAATAGTGGGGACAAGAAGGCCAAGTGGATGAAAATATTAAAAATATTTTTAGCGCCTAGCCGAACGCTCCAATATATGTTGCATGCGTATTCCATAGTTACTATAGAACATAAAGCATCGGCACCACCATGTCGAATTCTGGAACCCCAGTGCTACTCCCCCATAGTTGTGGCGCCGGCAAACATAACGACACATCGCCTAACCAAAAATTCTCATGCTTTTCAAATAAATTTATTTTAAACTTTTGAGTTGTTACAATCGAATTCTTCTTCAATTCAATATTAATTTTATGTACAATTAATTTTTTAATAGAGACGCATTATTTTTGAAGTACTTTTAGTAAATAAAGAGGACCCTACTCTATACAAGGTACATAAGGGTTGTATGAGAATCATTGAATAAATATGAAAAATTGAGATTAGGGTGTGTTCTCAGTAACAACAACAACAACAACAACATCAAGCCTTTATCCCACTACGTGGGGTCGGCTACATGAATCCTTTTTCTCCATAGTGTCCTATTAAAAGTCAAATTCTCGTTTAAATCTAATAAAGAAAGGTCATTCCTAATATTTTCTAACCAAGTCTTTTTAGGTCTACCCCTACCTTTCTTAACATAAGTCAAATCTAATACCTCTACTCTCCTAACTGGGTCATCGCAAGGCCGCCGTTTTATGTGACCAAACCATCTCAGGGTGTGTTCTCCGTATTTTACTAAAATCAATTCAAACTAACAATCAAGAAATAATTTGTCCTAATTCCATTTTAGTAAAACAGGAGCAAAATTAAACAAATTTGTTGCAAATATCGAATTGAAGAAGAATACAACAATTGAGAATCATTCCATTGTGATTATCCTACATTAAGATGCCCCTACTTTGCCATGAAATTTTATCCCCTGCTATGCTCAATCAATGTCAAAGTGATAGCTGTTAACTCCATTATCCCCCCTTCAATCATCTCAAATGAAATGAAATGTTGAGGGCAAGTACAAAAATGTGGGCATACTTGGGTTTTTTTGAGAACACAAGCCTCAATAAAAAATGAAGTACCCATATACATTTACCCAATATAAATCTCTCCTACCAACCAATAAATGGAAGGTTATCATTCAATTTTTTTTTTTGGATCTACCTGGAAATCATAAGTTTAATGATACCATATAAAAATTGATGATAAGGACGCTATCAATTACACAAAAATCTAAGCAATCATCATGGCACTGATATAAGACAGCATTTATAAGTTCCTCCTTACATGTCCAACCATCATGAAGTATCCATACACATGCACCAACCTCTACGCCCCTCATCTATCACAGTACTTCCTAAATCACCTTGCCACCTCTCAGCTACAACCCAAACTAGCCATGCTTGAGCTCTTCCACCATCCCAAGTCCAAATAATTCTCCCCTCAAGAAGACCTTTCAGCCACCTCAAAATAACCATCCCTATCTCTTCCTAGTCACACCCAATTACTCATTAGTTCTCATCGCAACCTCTCCCAATCATAATCAGCAGGACCAAATCTTTCCTAACTTATATAACCCACACCAAGCAAACCCTCGGTTTGAACTATAACATGGAAGGCATGCCTACGTGACAGAAGGCTCAGGTAAGAGCCTTGGTTGAAAAATTGGAGGAAGAAAGAAGTATTTATTATGTTGGAGGATACTAATATTTTAATTCAACTTCAATTATTTCAAATCCAGTTTCATCTAAAATATTACAAAATATGAAAAATCATCAGATGTATCGATAATCTATTGGATAATTCCCTATCTAAATGCTTATCATAATTCAAATTGAATATATGAATACTGAATTAAAATAATAATAACTTAATTCCATCTTTAGGTGGCCAGAACCCTCACTGAAGGGATGATAATCTTGTGGAAAGCATCTTGGAAGGTTAGTTACTAATTTGCAATTTTAAAAATCTCTTCGATCTAAATTTCTCTCTGCTCGATCCTTGATCACACCCCCTCTTCTTTGAATTTTAAATTACTAATTTGCAATTTACTCCTATAAATAATTGCATTTACATCCAATGATAATTTTGCAAATTTCACAAGAGCTTCTTGAATCAGTGTTATTATATGGCTCATATGCCTTAAAACCAACACACCATTTCTACGTATTTATGATTTTATTTTTTTATTTTTAAATATGTAAATTTATGCAAGTTCTTTAAAAAAATATTCGCTAGCTCCTTTTCTCCTTATTCACTAGCTCTCATATGCAATTTCTTTAAACCAAAACATAGCTCTTTCCACCAAAAATTTCTCTCCCATATATCCTAGATCGTGCCCATGATAAGTGTAAATTGTATATTGTCTTTTTTATGTTAAATACAATAAAAATGTCTTATTGTTGTTGTGCTTATATAGAAATTATACAGTTAAAAGTCAAATTTACAAGTGTTGAGAAGCACAGTCAAGATTCACACCGCGATGCTGCATCGATCAATGTCAAAGCGCCAATTTAAACGCGGCGGCGCCAACCTTCTTTATTTGCAAGCGCTCTGGCATCACAAACATTAGTGTCGTAGCGCATCATAGTGCCAAGCATCGCGGCGCCAGAAAGTTGTTCCATGCATCGCGGCGCTAAAATTTTACAGTGCAATAGGGGAGCAGTTATAACTGCAGTGAACCACGCCGATTTAGCAAAGAGACGCATCAATTCAAGCTGTAACAATGCCACGTCACTCAATGTCACAACGGAGCCAACATTCCAGCATCGAGGCGTTAGTTCACTTTTTGCAGCCGCAGCGTCACTCTTTCCAGCGTCGCGGCGCTCAAATCTGATTATGTACTTACGGTCAGTAGAAGTCAATTCTTTTGTTTGTGGAGTTTAGTTCCTTGAGTGTAGTTGAGTACTTTTTTAGTATTTTTTTTTTGTGCCCCCTTAGATTAAAATCTAAAGGAGACTGGGGAAGTGAGAGGTACAATCCTTTAGAGGGACTAGTCTTTATTTGTCTAAGCAACTCTGTAAGATGAGGAAGGAGTGTAAAGAACATACTTAGATCCATCCTGAAGATAAACTTCTCACTACTCTTATATTTTGTTCTTCTATGAATAAAATTAATATGAGTTTTCTTGTTACATTATGTTTTGGGCTAATGATGAAAAGAACATAATAAGTACTAATGTAGACTTTTTTTTTAAATAATGTAGACTCTTGTTCTTTAATGAATATAATGATGTTTTCAATATCTCTAGTTCATCATTTAATGTAAACAATGACCATGTGCGTAGTTAAAATCTAATGTGATATATAGCCTTGACAGAGGAATGTAAAAATAATTAAGAATATTGAAACGGAATATTAGCATGCCTAGACATAGGATATTTGAATATTTTAAGTTCTATGGGGATAGTAAAACTGTTGGAAGACTAATCATCTTTCTTTTCACCCCTACAAGTTCGACAGAGATTTACGTATGCACATGCTCTGATCCACATCTACAATTAAGAATCTCATTAGGAAAAATATGTTATTTACATGCTATTTCAAAACAATTTTATCAAAATTGTATCAACTATTTTACTTATTTACATTTAGTGGTAGGAACTCAAAATTCTCATTTTTATTTCAGTAGGATAATTTTTTTTCATTTGGGGTAAGTAGTAGTTTTGATAACAGTATAGTAGATCACTTCCTCATGAGTTCGACACTCTACTATATCAGTTTATTACTTTATTCGGCACGTATACTTGTGTAAGTTAATGGACTATTTTAAATTTGTCTATCAAAGAAAATTTAAGCATATTTCAAATCCAACATAAACATTAACTCATCATTATTTTATCATCATACGCAGCACAACCACACCCATCACCCCAATTTTAGATTAATAATTTACAATTTAATCCCTCTATTAATTATTGCATTTACAAGTTTACAATCACAATTTTTCAAATTTCTTAAGAGCTTCTTTAATCAAAGACATCATATCGCTCATATGCCCACATCATTTCTTTGTATTTATGATTTCATATTCAAATATGCATATATAAATCTATGCAAGTTCTTTAAACTATATATTCACTAGATTCATACATCAAATCAAAATTATAATTGCCCTTGTGCCCTCCTTATTTATAATTGGCCTCATAAGTCATATCTCCTATTTGCAACTAGCCTCACATCAAAATTTTAATTAATACAATATTTAAGATAGGTTTCTATCCATAAAAATAAATTAAAATGTTATAAATTGTGGCAAAAAAGTTATGGATATGCTATATATATATATATATATATATATAACATATTAACCGATTTTCTAAATTGTGAGCAATGCAATATAAATTTGCAATTAGGAGTGTGTGTAGTAGATAATTTACAACAATAATTATTTCCAATGATAAAACTAAGAATATCAAGTTCTGACAGCTATTTTATATTCAGTTATTGTGACAAATTATTGACTTTCTTCTTTTCTTTTTTTTTTCGGATTTTGAGATTTACTATGATTTAGGCAACCCTATGTAAAAAATGATAGATTTCTAACTACTATATCTTTGCAGTATAAATAAAATTACTTCCATCAACAAACTAATCACAAAGGGAGGCCTCGTGGTTGGTGCATCAAATATAAAAGTTGTGCTGCAAGGTTTGAATCCCAGAATGTATGCGTAGGAATTTTTTATAGCATAACCAATTGGTGGTTTTAGCCAGTAACTGACCAGAACAAGGGCAAAAATAAATAAAGTTGCTTGAAAACTGGTAGAAAAATGCTAAAGTGTAAGTTGGATCCAGCTAAAACAATTCTAAAATGGGTGATACAGATTAGTTTCAGTCAAAACCCAATATGATGTGAAAAAATAGGTAAATGTAGACAGGGATGCCCAATTTTACATTGAAGCAATACAATTGGTAGAAAGAGTATGTCAATGGACTCGGTAAAATGTCGGATTGGAACCCAAATTAAACACAAATGATCTTGCCTAAGTAGCACACTGCAATACTGCAATAGCAACACGAACATAAGACAAGACTATAGTAACTCCAACTCACTGCCATGATCTCTTTACCACTTAGTCAACCACAAAAGCTCAATCAGAAAAGAATGAATAAAACTGTTGTATTTCTTCAAACATCAAGGCGTCAACAACTAACAATTAAAGCCATTACAAAGTCCTGAATGTATCTTAGAAACTAGGTTTCAGCTCGTCTAGTTCGTCAGGACCAGTAGTCCCTCATCAAGTAAAAATTTAATTTTAATTATGAGCTATGTTGCACGGATACTCCTATTTACGAGGCGTGCTGTATCGGACACGTGTCGGATACGGATACGCCTCCCATACGGCACGGATACGTGTCGGATACGGCTTTGCCGTGTTTGATTAAAATATTATTTAAATTTGACTGGACGCGCGTATTTATTAAAAAAAACACTGAGTCACGATTTACCCTATTCTTTTCGACTTTCCACCGTTTCCGCTCAATATCTATATTCATTTATGCGGCTGAAACATTTCAAAGAGCTAGGTTTTTCATTTCCACACAAGTGTTCATCTTCTTCGTTATAGTTGAAGGAACGGCTCGATGACGCCAACATAGAAGCAAAAAGGATCATCCTTTGTCGACAAAGAGGCTTGACGACGCGAGCATTAAAGTCGATAGGATCATACTTCGTCGACGAAGCGGCTCGACAACGCGAACAGTGAAGGCGACGTGAGCAGTGAAGGTTCGTTTTCTTCATCGTTCTTCATTTTCTTAATCACAGGCTCGGTATCGAAACTTGGTACCACTTGGTACCGAACGTTACTGGAACTCAGTATTGCTCGGTACTGCTCGATACCGAGCGGTACTGGAATTCAGTACCGCTCGGTATTGGAACTCAGTACTGCTCGATATTGGAACTCGGTATTGCTTGGTACTACCGGTACCGAGAGGTATTGGAACTTAATACTGCTCGGTATTGGAACTCGGTATTGCTCGGTACTACTCGGTACCGAGCGGTATTGGAACTCGGTATTGCTCGGTACTAGTCGGTACCGAGCAGTATTGGAACTCAGTATTGCTCGGTACTACTCGGTACCGAGCGGTATTGGAACTCGGTATTGCTCGGTACTACTCGGTACCGAGCGGTATTGGAACTCAGTACTGCATTTCAATATTTAATGCTTACTTTTATTTCAATTTTTTTGTCATTTCAAATATTACACTTTGATTACTTTATTAATTTTTATGTATTATTTATATATTCTAATGCCGTATCATATATTTTTAAGAATTGGCGTGTTCCGTATCCGTATCGTGTCGTATCCGTATCGCCGTATCCGTATCGGTGCAACATAAATTATGAGAAAATATGGAGTTCCTTTATAATGATAATAGACAAAATTCAATTTAGATTCAAACTAAGATTATCATCTAGAAGACATGCCAATAAAAAATGTTAACTTGCTGAAAGAAGTACAGAATTCTGTAACCTGTCATTCCACTGAAATAGCCATAAGAAATAAACAAATTTTACAAACTCAAATACGGTACTGGCAATAAATTTCAGATATCAAACCTGAGCGATATATCATAACTGCATTTGGTCAATTAGGAGAGGAATGGTGGCATTCAAGATAAATTTTCTTTTCTGGTTGACTAGAAAAAATTTGTCATAACCTGAGCGATATATCATAACTAGGAAAACTTTAAGTCATTTAAGAATTAAAGAATTATGCATACTGAATGATCACTGCAGTTTTGCAAGCTTTCCCCAAAAAAGCAATCTGCTACTAGATTTCAGGTTTTCTGTTTTTGCCGAAGATATTAGGTTGGCTTATATGGACAACTCAGATTTCTAGTTAACCTCGAAAGGCCAGCATGCACTGCTCAAATATCACCATAAAGTTCTAAATAAATGAGCAGCAGACTCAACCCTACCAGGTATATTGTTCAGACAGGTTATAATGGCACACAACACCATTACTACTTTCCCATCTATTGGGAGTTCATGTACTATAACAGATTGCATGCAACAGAAATTGAAATAAAAAAGCATCACCATCGTCACACACTAATTCCAAATACAGTTGGTGTAACAATGCAAACTACATTCAACAGAAATGTGAGGAAAAAAAAGGCCTAAATGGTTCTCATCATTTAAGCAGACCCAACAAAGTAGGGATAAAGCTACTGATGATAATGAAGAAGAAGAAGAAATGTACATCAACTTTAGGTTTGAACATAACGTAACTGCAGCCACCAGCTCAACAAAATGTCTCATCTGCTATAATATTTAGTTCTATAATGAGAAAAAGGCTCATAGATAACCATCCATTAGATTGAAAAGGATACGTTCCATACTCATCCTTTCCTTTAGATGATTTTATAACTTCTTCATTTAAGGGTTATACTGAGTATATTCTAGCGGAGCGCAAAACAGCATTTTATAGAACTAAAATGACCTTCTGAAGATTAGTTCAGATTGTCAGATTCTCAAACAAGAGATGCAGTGTTACCACTACAAGATCGGAAGCAGTTTACCTAAATATAATATACAAAAGAAGTTTGGCATGGAAAGAGGATATCTTAATTAGAGAACTCAATAGTAGCACCATCTAAATGACAAATAGCTCCATAAAAAGCAAAAACAACAAAAAGATGCAACATAAAATTAATATTATCTTAAAATTAATTAATTGTGACTGGCAACCGACTACCTGATGTTCTGGCTGATTTTGGTAGCCCATATTGCGCCACTGAGCAATTGTGGTACCATGAAAAATAACTACACTGAAATATGCATCTAGCAAGAGAATGCGGTCTGCTGCTATAGATGCTACATCCAGCAAAGCAGGAGAAGGAGGTGCATTAAAAGAGTATGAAATTAGTGAAGGCTGGATCATAACAACAGAGTTTGTGATGCTTTCTCGGTTCAGCAGTATGCGGAAATATGCTGTCTCATCAGGGCTATTGTTGAAAACCTGCACCGAATATTACAAGAATACTGAAAATTTGAGAAATGTACTTATTTACTAATTTAAGATCAATCACCTGTACAAACTGAGACCTCCGCAGATTAAATATAAACTGTGGAAAAATTGAAAAATTAGGGTTTATGGAAAATGAAGCTGGATCATCTTTCCGATAATCTCCAAACCGTGAGCAAAGGCGAATAAGTGATCTATCCAACCATCGTATTGCATCAAATTCTTCCTGAAAAAAGAGAAGAAATGTGTCTCATAAGACAATGTGGTGTTAAAAAACAATTACAGTAGCTTTATTTCAAAAACACAAAGGGCGACTTTCAAGTGAAAAAATGTATATATCTTTTTTGAATTTTAGAGTTAGTTTGCAATACTAGTGAAATACATTAAAAATACAATGTATATTGATTTACACATGAAATAAACCTGTTTAACTTCATTTCAAAAACACAAAGGGGCATCTTTCAACAGAAAAATAAAACTGTATATATATTTATTGAAACTTTTATGCTTGCGGTGCTCAATACTAGTGAAATATACTTAAGCGTACTAAAAATTTATTGATTTGCAAAGGAATTAAAACATGTTCTCTGTTATATCAAGATATATCAGATTCATCAACAATAACTTATCCCAAAGCCTTGTGGTCATTCATTCTTATTCAGAATTATAGAGGATTTCACTCTAATTTAAGCAAGAATATTTCACCATCAAGCCATAACGTGCACAACAGTGAATGCAGGTATTATTCTAATCAGTAAGTAACTAACCTCCATCTCCATCTTCAATGAAATAAATCGAGCTAATACAACAGCAGCAGTTTCCTGATCGAACCCATCAACCAGTTCCTGCAGGGTCATTGAGACAATATCAGCTAAATGAATGGATACATGTATGCTTTAGAACTCAACCAGCCAATTTAGTTGAAAGTTGAAACATATGTAATATTTTTCAAGGACTGAATGAACCTTTGGTGTTCCAAACATCAAACAATAATAACAAAAAAAAATTAAGATGATCGTAATTCTTAAAGAAAGCTGTCATTTAAAGATTAGATTAAGCGGAGCAAAAATTATTCCAAACAATTATAGCAGGCTTCCAACTACATGTAATCAAGCAGGTATAAGAAAGAAAGTATGATGACCATAAACATGGACATAGCAAAAGCTCATTCATAGCCTCTTTTTCCTATACATTTTTTCAATGTATAATTTTGAGTTGAATTCAAAATAATGAAATGAAAACATAAAAAACAAAAGAAATGGATGGAATGCATATGTATTTATTGAGAATTTATTACAATGAGAATTAATCCATCGTGACCAGGAATGCAAAACAAATTATAGTGAGATAAAATTTGGATAACATTGGCCTTAATAGCAAATTTTATGTGCAGAAGATAAATTGAATTAAACTTTTCATTAGAATATAACATTATAAAATTTCCTATGAGTGACAAAAAGAGCCAAAAGTATGAAGCATCTTTCCATCATAACATTTGCCTGACTATGCTGATACAGTTAACAGCTTGAAATCAGAGTTTATTGAAATTTAAAAACCAAATATTTTGACCATAATATAGATTATCAGACGGTTTTCCAATCATACAAGTAAAATCCATTATTACAAAATATCACTTCAAACTATAAATTATAGAAAATATATCTAAATAAAACAAGGACAAAAAAATTAAAAAGAAAAGCTAGCACGGAACTGAAAGGAGATGCTCAAGAGTTTGAGAACTAACCGCTGTGTTTGCGGACCCTTCGACCCATTTTCTAGTAATGGTTGTAACCCGCAACCTCATTTGACCTTCAGGGTTTTGATAGCTACGGATGAAAAGAAGAAAAAATTTAAATAACAGTCTAGCATGAAAGGTAAGAGATGAAATGATGCATAATGAATGAATACCATACTTTGTCAAGAACTGAATATACAATTGTGGATTTGGGATTCCTGATTGGTTTGATCTTTCACTTGGTGATATGTCAAAGAAGACAGTCAAACAAGTACTCCTATCAAGACCACATATTTTCCATGCCGTTGTATTTCCTTGACCTATAACTGCATCGGAACTAAGTGCTCCTTTCTGCAAAGGATACAGCAATAAGCATAATAAAGATTTGGGAAATTTCATATCTATAAGAGGATGTAAATAAATTTTTGCATTTTCTAACACAGCAGATGAGTAAAATATACCACCTTTTCTAAAGATGTACAAGGTCCGATTATCCCCTGAAGTTTAATGTCTTTAGAGCAGTTGATCTCAAGTGTACCACTGACATTGAAAAGCACAAACAATCAAAGACAGAAATTAAAGCCATTCATGAACACACAATCCTAATTATCAAGTATAAATCAGATGTATTGAATTATGCTTTTAAATGCAGTATATGTTACATAGCCTAAAGATCCTCACACTACAATTTACACCATTTCAGTCTAGTATTCGATATGGAGAAACGAAGCATAAAAAAGTCTTCAACAACATTTTTTTGAATGATAGAACTTATGGGCAAGACTAAAGAGCTAAAGCTATAAAAGATTGATGTTGTACTTCATGGGTTTTAAAGTGAAGCTCTGAGCAGATAATCAAAAGTCAAGTTAGTCCTACTAAAATACTTCTCTTTTCCTCTGCAGTCACCTTTCAAATGACCGACCAAAACTGAAGGGAATGGATTGTGAACTCGCATTTCTCAGGAAGAAAGATCAGTCACCTGATGGGCACAAAAGCAAACAATGAACACTGTTTGAAAACTCCAGCATGCCAGATCCATAAACAAGATTCACATCATCTCCTGAACAGATTTCCAAACTACTAGATTTCCACCGAACCTATTGGAGACGAGACAACAGATAATACAAGTGGCTTTTTCTTGCACATAGTGGTCATATTAAGAACATAAGTTAAAAAAATAAATAATTAATTTGCGGATCTCTTAACTTGCAACTAACAGATTAATCAGATAGGAAGCACCATGCATTTAAATGGCATCTTCTTCCATGGCCCTCATCCTCTACATATTAAAGAGTAATATCTGATTTTAACCAGCTTGATTCTTGATCATGTTGCTGTGTTTTGTTTTTTGACCAAATGTAGCATCCTCTACATAATATAAGGTTAGGCGATGGTGCAGCTTACAAGGACTTTCACAGGATGTCAAACTCTTAGAGAAAAGGCACCAGAATAGTAATCAAACAAGATTGTCAAATCAAGGTAAGCATAACTGGACGTTACATCCCATCTATGTACTAAAGGAATATCAAGGCGAGCAACTAAACAATTCACACATGGCAAAAGAATGAACATAAGTGCTACAAATGTAGCATTGCATAGCTAAAAGACTCTAAATGTTCACGTAGCCAATATGCAGTAGTAAGTGCCACAAGAGGCTATAAAATACCATGCCACTACATTAAACTAAACTAAAATTTCAAACATCACCCGAGAACAGCATAGAAATATCACTAAGGTAAATATACCATGCTAAACCATCAAAGCGTGCATGACATCCGAGTGCAACTTTTCAAGGTTCAGTACAAGTTATGTGATGTTGCATCTTTAACTTCAAGGAACATCAAGATCAGGCACTACATTTACCGTAAGTGTCATAAAAAATGAACTACTAAGCTAATGACTTTTTGTGCCAAATTTCCTCTATCTATTATAGCTGGTCAGAAATTCCTCAATTTTATGCATTTTCTTTATTTTTTCAAGATGGTTCGGAACCCCCCATGACAACCCAAAGAAAATAACTTTAGATGGAATAAAATAAATAAGTGAATAATGAAATTATAAGACTCTGCAGGAAGCAATTGTTACTCTGTATAAACTTGGTTCGGAAATAGTAAGCAAACCAGCAGTTAATAGCTAAGGATGAATGTGATAGTAAACACTTGAAGATTTCAAGTAAATACTATCAATTTTAGAAAAACAACGAGAAAACTCTTTCAAACTCCAATTAAAACTAGAAAAAATAGTAATTTTATTGCAATAAAACAAACTACGGAAGAAAATAACAAGATACAATTGATCCTCTATTCGAGAGGAGGATCGATCTCTCCCAAATCTCTAGACGCCGCCAGAGCCCAAGGAAATCCTATGAGATTTCAAATTTCAACCAAATTCAAGATGCCCTAACCCAGGAAAAAAAATTATTTAATGCATACAATTCAAGAGGAAATCTAACAGTCCCTACATTTAATTTCCCTCCTAAACTCCCTTCAAAATCCTTCCTAAACAGTCGTTTTTTGCTCCTGTTGGTTTGTGCGGTATACAGGAGGCGGAACCCTTCGCTTCCGTTCGTTGGACCAATCCCGTGTGGACCGGTCTAACAATACTCCCCTCCCAAAGTGCCACCCTGTCCTCAAGGTGGAACAGAGGAAACTGCTGTTAAAGCACTTGATCAATAACACTGGATTGAAAAATGAATTGATATTGGGTTGAATGATCCCTGCCTCTAGCATCCGCCCAATCAATTTTTCGCTCTCATCTTTCTGGATTTTTGGATAGCGGACAATCGAACACTGATCGGTGACACCCCCTCCTTCAAGGTAATGGCATGCTCCAACACTCTCAGTGGATATAGGCCCTGGGGAGGTTGAAAAAACTCACTGAACTTTTGTATGAGCGGCTGAACTAAAGTAGGAATATCTCCCTCATCCTCCAGTTTGACTCCTTCCAAGCATTGCAACTCCACCAAAAATCCTCCTCCCATCTCTTATATGGTCCTGATCATAGATTTGAGAGATACCCCAGCCTTGGACAGCCCGACGTTGCCCTAAATCACCATCCTCCTTCCCCCTACCACCAGCTCCATCCTCAGTGCTCCCTAATTGACCTTGGTATTCCCCAAGGTTTGTAGCCACTTCATCCTCAGGATGACATCAGTGCGTCCCAATTCCAATGGGAGAAAGTCCTCCCTCACTAGGATCCCCTGAATAGTCAACACTACTCCCCTACATGCTCCTCTACCCATCTCCACATTTTTCGTACTCATCATCATCCCATAGCACCCTGTATCCACCAATATCACCCCCAATTGATCCACGACCAGGTTGGAGATGAAATTATGTGTAGTCCCACTATCAATCAACACCTCCACCTCCCTGTCTGCTATTTCCCCTTCACCTTTATGGTACGATTTAGAGTAAATCCCACCATTAAATTCAGGGAGACCTCCATCACGTCCAAATGTAGGTTGTCCTCCGTCTCTCTCTCTCTCTCTCTCTCTCTCTCTCTCTCTCTCTCTCTCTCTCTCTCTCCCCCCCCCCCCCCCTTCTCCTCCCCCCCTCCCTTTCTCTCTTCTCTCCCCCCCCCCCCCCCCATAATTTCATCTCCCTCAGCTTTCTCATCATTACAAACAGTGAGAGCCTGAAGAGTTTGATCCCTAAACTTGTGCCCTAGAATATACTTCTCATCACATTTGAAGCATAGTCCATTTACTCTCTTCTCCTGTATCTTCCTCTCTGTCAGTCTTTTGAAGTTCCCCCCCCACTTCCTCCTGCTGGATTCTCCCGGGAAGTCTCATTAATGTTGTCTGATGCAGGCCCCTTAGGTGCTAGAAGGGTGGTCGTCATCTTGTAAGAGCCTCCTAAATTGCTGCTCTTGGCTTCCCTCTCTTGATTCCACTGATTATCCACTAGTTGTGCCAACTTCATGGCCTCTCCCAAGTCACGAGGACTCATGATCTTCACCATATCTCTGATCTCTGATTTGAACCCCTTCATGAACTTCCCCTCCAATGCAGTCTCCGAGAATTGCTCCACCCTACTGGCCAGATGCTCAAACCGCTCACGGTAGTTTGCCACTGATTCGTCCTGCACCAATGCAAAAAACTGCTCATAGAAATCTCCTCTCATGTCGGTTTAGAAATGTTCTAATAAAAAATCCTTGAACTCTCTTCAGCTCCGTATGGGTCTCCTCTGTTCCTTCCAGTGTTACCATGACAATGCCTTCCCCTCCAGACATAAACTTGTTGTTGTCAACTTTTCCTCCTTCGTCAACCCATTGACGACAAAATACCTCTCCACATTGTATATCCATCCATTTGCATCCTCCACTTCAAAAATGGGCATCTTTAGTTTCCTCACCTTCTGATCTCCCATGTTTCCCCTTATTCCTCCATAGTTTCCCTTTTCCAAAGTGTTTAGCCCTCCCCAAGTCTCTTGATTTTCTCGCCTCCGTTCATACACAAACTCATCTTCACTTTATCCCCTTTTTTCTTCAAAATCAGCACACTTTCTTCCATATTCTCCTTTTCTTCCCCAACTAGCACTCCTTGATTCATGCCCATCATACCCATGCCTCCCTCCATACCTTCTACCTCTTTCCTCCATGATTTCCACCTCATCATCCCTCCTATGAAAATAAGAATTCATAGTTCTTCCCATGGGTCTCTTGGCCTTCGATGCCGCCATTTGAAATTGATTTTCCAATAACTTCTTCACCATCGCATGAAGATCAGAAACTGTCTTCCACAGACGAAACCTTGTCTTCTACGGAGGAGATTTGATCTTCCACGTAGCTTTTCTTTGACTCATCTCCCCTTCAAAGCGTTCCTCCAAAGCATCTACCATCTTGGCCACCATAAAAAAAATTATGGATCTTGATTCATAATTGAGCAAAAAACCATCTTCCGATCACAAAAAAATCGCCGCTGAAATTTCAGAAAACCAGCCCATGATGATCCCAAAATTGCTATGATACCAATTTGATAGAAAACACTTGAAGATTTTAAATAAATCCTATCAATTTCAGAAAAAAACAACGAGAAAACTTCCAAACTCCAATGAAAACCAGAAAAAAATATTAATTTATTGCAAGAAAATAAACTACCAAAGAAAATAATAAGATACAATTGCTCTATTCGAGAGGAGGATCGATCTCTCCCAAATATCTAGATGCCGCTAGATCCCAAAGAAATCCTATGAGATCTCAAATTTCAGCCAAATTCAAGATGCCCTAACCCTAGGAAGACAAACTATTTAATGTATACAATTCAAAAGGAAATCTCTAAACAGTCCCTATATTCAATTTCCCTTCTAAACGCCCTTCAAAATCCTTCCTAAACAGTTGTTTTTTGCTCCTGTAGGTTTGCGCAGTATGCGGTATGCGTTATGGGGTATGTGGTATGCAGGAGACATAACCCTTTGCTTCCATTCGCTGGACCGGTCCCGTGTGAACCGGCTGGACCGGTCTAACAAAATGGATAACAAAACTTCGTTCAAATGAATTTAGACAGTTTTCTGTGTTTAACAGCCCATGGCAATCGCCTATTACAGCAATCATATTCAGAATATCAAATGCTTGTTTGGAGCAGTAGGCTGCCATTCTAGGTAAAACTAACAAGATGCAGAAAAACTCACTTGAATGAGAGGCCAAGAGACTGTTCGCCACTTTCAAAAGTTCTTTTGAAAGAGTCTTTAAAAACTGGGTGCCCAAAACTTTCGGCAAGGACAACAAGACCACCTGTCCTTTCAACAGCAACTTTCATCTCTGCAACCCCGACCTGAAATAAATGTAGTTAAAGGAAAAAAAAAACAGTATGCATTAGACCACTGGAAATTAATACCAGTCAAGAAATTAAGGCTTCATCGGCCAAAGGAGGAATTTGGCCTCTGCATTGCAGCTTTCTGAGGTACCTTGCCCAGGAAGCTGTCTTTTCAGCATCTTCATTGGGCAATGCCGTGATGTTTGGCTAAGCGACACTTAAAGGGAACCTACGCTAAACTAGTTCTTGATCTAAGAATTATTAATAAATAGGAAAAGTATACAAGATACTTTATAAATGCCATTAAAAATTTTCTTGTTATAACTACAAGGGAATGAACAGACCTTCCCCTATATTTTCATTTTTGTCTGCATTCTACTTATTCAATATTTTTTTATATATAAAAGAATAAAAAATAATAATTATTCACTATGAGCAGGGGGACAATGAGCAGCAGAGCAGACAGTATTATTGTGAAGATGTGTTGTCACCCTCACCCCAATATCTAGGAAATTGGTGGATGGTACAAGTTTCCATAACCAAGAAATTCCAAAGTAAATTAAATAACAAGATTTTAAAACACCTTCACCAAAAAACCTTTTCACTAGAAAAGAAAGAAAATTGCATGCACCTGATCAAGCGCTGAAGCAAATAGATCTAAAACATGACCCTGATTAACAAGCTGTTTGGCGAGACTGTCATAAAATTTAACAGCTTTATGGTAATGTGGAGCTGCATCTTTATCAAGATCTTTGTGTGATCGGACAGGCTCAGATAGATCTTTAGAAACAATCTACAAGTCAAATATCATCAAATAATCATATAAGCCAAATAATTCTGTTTCAATTTCCCTAAATGAAAGAAAGGAAAACTGAAAAGATATCCCATATATATATATATAAACTTAATCTTTAAACATTAGTAAGAAAAAGTACAACTGAACTGTATACTATAGGAAGTAAAAAAAATTATAACTAAGATAGCACATTTAAGAGCAACATATTTTAAAAACCAACACATCAGGCATTCTTTTAAAGGTGTGTGATGCCGGGCACCACACTACATTACCTCGTTCCATAATGCTATTTCTATTTAACATAATATTACTTTGCCACCTACCTTTTTTCTAATTTATAAAATCTTTTTTGTTTTGCACTGCAATTCTATTTTGCAGGCAGGAAAGGAATCCACAAGACATCTTGTATGCCTTATGCTCGACAGAGGATACATAATACACCTTGGCTTGAATTGATTTTAGTATTGCATTTTTCGTTTCTTTCGCCTCTCCCTGTTAGTCTCTGTGCTACTATGGTATTAGAGCCCTACAGTTGGGAGTTATGGTAGATGGAGGCAAGCTATTGACAATGATTGAAGCCTGAAGTGAGCCACTCAATTGAAACTCACGCAAAGGATGAATGAACTCACCACCGAGTTCATTTTTTTGGTTGAAATGAGATGACATTTATAGAATCTCATGTGCGCGGGGCAGGGCAAGGCAATTGGGTGTGGGAGGGTATTCACCCCAATTCGACAACTAAACCAATAGGACAAACAACTACATGTAAACCGTGAGACACCAATGGTGAATCAAAATACATGATGACCACTTCGATGACACCCCTAAAAACAATTGGAGCTCCCTAATGGCAATATAGATGCCCATCACCTATTCGGATTATGAAGAAAAAATAAACATAGAATCCCCACCACACAGCTGGAATGGTCATTGCGAATGGAACAATAATATATTTCATGTAAAGCTTGAATCTGTAAGATGGTGGTGAGACTTATAATGCTTTATGGTGCAGAATGTTGGCCATTAAAAGAGAAGCATAATATTAAGTTAGGTGTTGCCAGAGATGAGGATACTCAAGTAGATGAGTGGCTATTCTTAGAGATAGGATGTGAAATTAGCATATACGTGAAAAGGTTGGAGTAGCTCCTATGGAAGATAAGATTAGAAAGAGTCGCCTTAGATGGTTTGGTCACATAAAACGGCAGCCTTCCAATGACCCGATTAGGAAAATAGAGGTATTAAATTTGGCTTATGACCTAAAAAATTTGGTTAGAAAATATTAGAAATGAATTTTTTTTATTAGATTTAAATGAGAATTTGACTCTTAATATGACACAATGGAGAAAAATGATTCATGCAGCTGACCCCACATAGTGAGATAAAGGCTTGATGTTGTTGTTGTATGTGAAGCTTAAAATCTCATTCTTCAATGGGCATCTACATATCAAAAAATAACTCAATTGGGAACACTCAAATAAAATACATTTTTTTAGTTAATATACGGAAATCCTATTAGAGTAGCAAATACGTGGCGTGCAAATTGAAATGAGGGGCGACATGCGCATGTTGTATGTAACTGTTGTAATCACATCGTCGAGAAGGTAAGAGATGATTCCATAGCTATTTAGAATGAAACAATTTTTGTGAAGATATTTTTTGCCGAATGACTTCAAGAAAATGGTCTATATGCAATATCAATATTGCTCCCAAGGCACAACAATTGAAAGGAAGTGCATAGAGGAAAGAAATTTGATGGCTTAGAGGATGAAATACTTTAAGCAAATACAATCAATTGGATGCACGGTACCTTGACAGTCTCAAGGAAGCAATTCAAGACAAATTAAAGATAAACTCAAAGTAATCTCAATCCAAATATGAATATTTCTTACAAGAAAGGGTTATAATTATCTCAAGCCTCTCGGGAAATGTCATTTTGAAAACTGCACAACGATCAAACACAATTGCAATTCCAAAACTTCTGCTCAATTCCTAGAAACCAACCATCAATTTCAACTCAACAATATATCCAATTTGTATTCTAGAGAAGCTCTTCATCACTCAATGCCAACCAATCGCTTCACAAAGGCATGTTATCCTTTGAACAAAATGTACCATCAATGATAAGGTTTGCAAACTTTAATTCAATATAGAATGCACTAAGAATATAATTTCATAGTGTGTTATTCAAGAAATGCAACTTAAAGCCACACACATCCACCTTCATACAAAATTAGTTGGATGTAAAAAGCAATCGACATACTCATCTCTCATATGTGTCACATAGCTTTCTCCATCAAAAAATAAGCTGTGTGAAGTCCTATGCAACCTACTAGACATGAATGTGTGACGTATACTCAGCCGATTGTGATGATTTGACAAGAGTGCATATATGAATGCCACCCAAATGCCTATTCCTTTGAATGAATGGATGGGAAATTCAAACTCTTTCCACCACCAACCTAAACTACTGCTAGCAATGTAAAGGAGAATTCATCTTTGTTTGTAGTCTTTGGAACTACTTTTCTTAATACACAAAAAAGAATCATCTTCCCTTTTTGCCTTAGTAATATTAGAGCACAACCCATCTATACTGCTCCTCTACCTAAGGTGTTCATCTCTACCTTAGGAAGCTTGAAAACTTCAGTCCAATGGAACTATTGTCTCAGCTTTCTTTGATCAGTTCAGCACCACCAAATTGACCTGACATTGGATGCCTTATTTCCTAACCTCTCACACTACAAATAAGATTTGAGAGAATATCACATTTTGTCAAAAATAACATATGAGTTGTTGGACAAACAACTCATTTATAAGGGTTTGAGCCTATGCATTTCATTGGCTTTCGTAGTAACAAAACAAAGACAGAAGTTGGTGTAAAGTGTGTCGACAATAGAGCAATAAATAAGAAAACAATTAAATGTCATGTTTAGAGGACATGTTGGGCAAGCTAGCTGGTGCTATCACATTTTTCAAATTGTATTTGTGTAGCAAGTCTCACCAAATTTGCATCCGGCAAATGATGAGTGAAAACTAGCTTTCCAATATTGTAAAGGCCTCTACTAGTGGAAGGACATGCTATTTGATTAATGCAACACAACCATCACATCTATGCTTTAAAAGGGTTATTTTTTTGTTAGCATACTTCGATGATATCTTAGTCTATAAAGATTCTTTTGATGATCATTTACAACATCTCAAGAATATAGTTTTTATTGTCCACACACAAATTGTATCTCAACTTTTTCAAATGCAAGTTTGTTAGCTTGAGCATCCACTTCCACAGCTTCATAGTTAGTGCTATGGGAATCCAAAATGATCAAAAGAAAATTGTAGCCATTATGCAGCTTCCATGGCCCAACATACTTTATTGTTGATTCATATGAGGCTTTAACATGATCATGGCACCTATCACTAATTGTTTGAACTCAAAATAATTCACATGGTCCAATGAGAAGCAAAACAATTCTGAACCCATCAAAGATGCATTGAATATGACACCAAGTCCAACGATTCCCAATTGTGGCAACCCATTTCATGTCGAGCGAGATTCTTTCGTTGTCAGCATTGTGGTCATCCTCTCAGAAAAAGGCCATCCAATTGAATCTTTTAGTGAGAAACTAGGCAATCCAATATCAAAATGGAAAATTTATGAGCAAGAATTGCATGCAATTATAACTCCTCTCAAGCAATGGGAACATTATATTTTGATCAAAAGAAAATTGTAGCCATTGCATTGGCCTATTGATTTTTTTATCAAAAAAAATTGCAGCCATTAAGCATTGGCAAACACTCCGCCATTGACATTCGTAGCTTCCATGGCTCAACAAACTTTATCACTGATTCATATGAGGCTTCAACGTGATTATAACACCTATTACTAACCGTCTGAAATCAAAACAATTCTCCTAGTCCAGTCAGAAACAAAACAATTTTTAAACCATCAAGAATGCATTGAGCACGACACCACTTCTTGGCATTCCCAATTCCGACAACCCATTTCATGTTGACTAGGATGCTACCATTGGCAGCATTGTTGTCATCCTCCCAAAAGAAGGCCAGCCTATTGAATTTTTTGTGAGAACTTAAGCACTCAAAGATCAAAATGGACAGTTTATGAGCAAGAACTACATGCAGTCATCCCTCCTCTCAAGTAATGGGAATATTATCTTTTGCACCAAGACTTTCTATTCTGCAACAACCACCAAGCCTTGCAATTTCTCAATTCACAAAAATAATTGAGTTGAATGCAGACTCGTCATGTATTATTCCTACAAAAGTTCAGTTATATAATTAAACACAATGTCAACATATGAAATTGAACTCAAAATAATTCACATGGTCCAAACTTCTAGCAACGCTAGAAACAAAATTCACTAGCTTTGAATCTTCAAGGACATGTATAGCAATGACAATGATTTCTACACTCCATGGTTGCAGTGCAAAACATCACACCCAACAGAAAACTATCCAATTCGTAATACATTATTTTTTTAAGGTAATCAGTTGTGCATCCCTGACAAGTCCGCATGAATGCAACATATTAAAGAGATACACACAAGCGGGATTGCTGCCCATGTTGGTTGTGATAAAATTTTATCTCAAGTTCAAAGAAGATTCTTTTGGACTAAATTTTGGAAGGATGTCTCTACATTCATTGAAAAATATATGACACGTCAAACTTACGAAGGGACATCCAAAAATATCATATTATACTAACATCTACCCGTTCTAGATTCTATTTGGGAGAATACGAGTCTTGACTTTGTATTGGGTTTGCTACGACCCAAATGAGCTGTGGATTTTATCATAGTCATCATCAACAGATTTTTCAAAATAATGCACTTCATCATTTGTAAAACGACCTTTGACGCTCTCCATGTTGTCCGCCTTTTGTTCCATGGGATCATACAATTACATGGTCTCCCTTACAATCACACATCCAACCAGATTGTCAAATTTATCAATTGGTTTAGGTGAGAGCTTTGGAAGTGATTACA